AGAGTCTTGGTAGCATAAGGATAGAAGAGGTCCACACCGACGACAACATAGTTGACCCCTTGACTAAACCGTTGTCACATCTAAAACATAAGACCCTCACTCGATCATCGAGATTAAGGGACATGGGTGGTTGGCTTTAGTGTAAGTAGGAGATTGTTAGTGTAGGTGCCCAATATCCAACCATGTTTGGATGGGCTTGAGTTAATATATTATTGTATTATTTATTTTAATAATAATAAAGAAGTTATTCTATTAATTCTTGTGTTTTATGTTTGTAAATTGAATAGAATTAGATAAAAGTTCTTATAATATGCATTTACAATAGTGATTGATCGAAAGATATGAGACAAACACTAATGTATATAAATGATATCATTAAACATTCCAAGTCATAGCATTGTCAAGAATGGACATTACCTATATGCGGATAGACTTGTGAGTGCTATGCTCATGTTATATGATAACGAGTAAGAGATTTCACACCTATTGACATGGTGATTCCACAGTAAGTACTTAGATGATTCATGTTAGAGAACAACATATCACCGGACTTGACTCACCATAATAACCCATTTGGTTTTAGTCTATGGGAATCTCATATGAGATGGGTACAAATGGTCATTGGACTTGAAGTCATCACGGTTGTCTCATTAGAGGACTTATACACTTTGACACTCGTTTCGATGGATCTATTAATGGGTTGTACGTGGACGATCGTTGGGTGCATTAGAAATCTAATGAAGGTAAGTGTATGACTAGGATAGGACATGTCGTTCCTTGTATACTAAAGGAGTTATCACATTATACTTCGATAAATGTTTGCTCAAGAATCTGTGGTCATAGTAGGAGTACATCAATAGAGCATAGTTGGTCTACTTTATGAATTAAGACATTTGAGAATCGAAAAAAACTCATGTGATCATAATCGAACGAGACTTATAACTAAATTCGAGATCACACTATGATAAGTTGACTCGAGGACTGAATTATTTGGTAACCATACTCGTGAAAGGTGATAATGGATTAATTAATCCTCTTAGAGAATTAGATAATCATGATGCCTTGGTAGAGGCCAATCTTGATTTATTTATCAAGAGATAAAAGAGGAATTTTTTTTGATATATTGCCAACACATCTAGGACCCTATTGAATCATACGTATAAGTTTAAGTATTCATATGATGAATAAGAAGTAAAGATATTGAAAAAAGTTTCTAATTTTGAAAGTTTTCTATTTTAGAAAGGGTATCCAAAAAGAAATATTTCCTTAAATGGAAAGTTTTCTAAAATGGGAAGTTTTCTTAATTAGGAAGTTTTCGAAAATGCAAAGTTTTCTATTTTAGAAATCAGTTTCCTAATTTGGAAGTTGGTTCCAAATTTGAAAATAAATAAGCTAAAATAGAAATGAATTTGCTAGATTAGGTTAAAGGTTATTTTGAGAAATTATTTCCTAATGTGGATCCACTTTAAATAATCTAAGATTATTTATTTGGATAGTCCAAATAAATTAATTAGGCTAGAATGGTTTTAGCCTATTAATTTTAATTAAAAGCCTTAAGATATTTTGATGAGAGGATAAAAATCGGTATTATTGGATAATGATGAATGTTTTAAAGATAATGATGAAAAGTCCACAAGTAAAATAGCTCCTCATCCTTGGAGGATAAGGCAACAACAATAGTCCTTTAGGGACTCATTGCCGCCCCTCTCCTTGTGCTTGGACGATAAAGAAACTCTCCTATAAATATATAAGAGAGAGGGAGATGCGGTAAGACAGATAAAAAAAGAACACAAGAAAAAAAGAGGAAAAGAGAAATTCAGCTAATCCTAAAAAACCACTAGGGCATATAGCAAAGAGAGGGGAAAAAGAGAGAAAATAGTTTTTTCGAAAACCCAAGCATGCCATACTTTTTCTTTCTCTTTTAAGGTTATCGCAAAAAGTTTCCCTTGATATAATTCTTTAGGAAACACTATACAAATCAGAAAAGGTGGAGCTAGCACCCTATCGATTTTGAGCGCTTCTTTATAGGTACTTGGACCGCATGGATCATTAATAGAGGCCGAACACTTAGACAGTTTTCTAATAAAAGAATTTAGATCCGCGCTACAAGAGATAATTCTTTATTTATTGCTTTAAATTTATACATGTATAGTTAATAGATTCAACGGCTTGATCTTGGGTCCTTAAATGGAGAAAAGTTTTTATTTATTCCGTACCTTCATGGAATGCATGATCCTTCATAGTTAGTTAAAAAGTTTTATTTTATGGAGGAGTTCTATGTAATCACTTGTTGCATCTTCTATTATACAAGTTGAGATAGTGGCTTGTTATGAAGCGAAGACACGCTAAGTGGCTAAAGAATTTCATTTTAAGGTTTAAGGTTGTTGATTCCATCTAAAAAATTATCAAGATTTTTTGTGATTATATTGCTATTGCTCATTTCTCTAAAGCATTAAGAATTCTAAAAGTGCAAAATACATAAAGGTTAGGTATTATAAAGTTAGAGACATGGTTGATAATGGTGACATTAGCGAGAGATGGATGGTAGTGATGGTGGTGGTTAGCAACTAGAAGAAGCTGATTGGGTGGTTGTGATGGTGGTAGTTTTTAGAGAGAGATATGACAACATAATTGTGGGTTGTTTGACTAAGTAAAAGAAGGTGACGAGTCTTAGTAATGGGGGCAACAACTTGGATGGGGAAGATAGTGGTGTTGTGGCAAGTTTTTGGTCGGCAATTTGGGAGAAAAGGGTTTTCTCTTTGGTTGTGGCTTGGTTGCCATTAGGAGAGAGAAGAAGAAAGGTTTTTATTGTGGGTTTTTCAAAGGTTAAATGAAAAACTTTGATTTGATCCCTCATCTTGCACGTCTTTTTAGTTTTGGTTCTCCATCTCTTTATTTCCTTCCAATTAAGCCCTCAATTGAATCTCTTTGGTCATTTTTCTTTTTATTTCTCTCAATTTACCCAAATTCACTCTCAATTAAGACCCTTGGTTGTTTATTTATTCCAATTATGCCTTTCAATTAGATCTCTTTCGACCCTCGGCTTTTCATTTTTTTTTGTTGGCACCTAAATGCTACTTTTCAATTTATCCTCATTTTCTTTTCTCTTTTTATTTTATTTTTTCTTAATTTTTATTGATTAATTTTTCACTCATTACTTTTTCATGCTTAGTGAATTTCTAAAATTCACAAAAATAATCAAAATTCATAAAACTAATAAAAATAGCTTGAATTTTGAAATATCAAATTAATCGAATAAAATGTCTAACTTTTGGTATTTTTTTTATTTTTTTGATTTTTTTTTGGAGAATTTGTAAACAATTAAGCTCTAACTAAATGGCTTAGGCATGTTGAAAGCATGTGTATTGTTGTTTCTTTTGATATAACTCGGTTAGTGATACTTTATTTTATTTTATATGACTATCCAACTTTGAATTTCATATGATGAAATCATTTCTCTATTGTTGTGCTCATTGATTGGTGAAATTAATTGTGATTGCACATGTTATTGAGATATTTGATATTTTATGTAAACTCGTGCAAGAATCTTATATATGGATATACATATAAACAATGTGTGATGTTTTGTATTGAGATATCCGGGTTTTAGTCTTAAGATGTTAAAATTATGATGTTTTTAAAAGCATGTTTTATATAGCTTTGGTATAGAGTGTATTATGATCTATTAAGATTGGAAGACTAATGTGGGGCTAGCATGCTATACTTATTTTGGATCATTGTGCTAATTTTCCATAATGCAACTTGTCACACCATGGGGTTCGTGTCATTAGGTTATTAGTATTTATGGTCATATATGGTCTTATATCAATAAATAGTGCAATGACTATTATGGTTCAATATTAAAAATACAAATAGACTGAATCCTTATTTGAGATCTTAATTTTTGAACAATATATTTATGTGGCCACTTAAGTTATCTCGACCCGAGAATCATTTTATAAATTGAATATTTTTTAAGTGAAATATCAATCAATATTGCCCAAATAGGAGAACGTTATATTTTTATATTTAAATATGGGCTAATATTGATTGTGAATTTTATATTTCTATTAAACAAAAAAGGTTGAATCTATAGTTTAGAGATAATAACCAGTAAAGCTCCTAGTTGAATTGTGATCCATTAAGTTTATGGGTTATAGTTTGTCTAAATTAATTAAATAGGTGTGATGCTTTATTTATTTGATAGTCCATAAGTATTATTTTATCATTAGGGCCTGCTTCCCTCTTACATCCTTACCCTAACAATATAAATCTATTTTTATAGGTGATAGTTGTTCTATTTGAAAGAAAACCCTAAATTTTTAAATTAATTCTATATTCTTTTTGGCTTGAAGATTAAAATTATTTTTTAACATCATAACTATGCAAATTATGCAATTTATTACTTACTAATATTTATTACTTGTGTTTTTTAGTTTCTGGTATATATATATATATATATATATCATAGAATTGAATTATTCTAATAGGTCATGATTGATAGCCGTACGTACGTGGAAATCCTAACCCTAATCGACGGAGCCATGGATGTTTAGACTGTGGAAATCAAGAAATCGATTAAAGCTGATTTAGAACGACGGCTTGTGGGGTTTCAATTGACATGCGGGGTTATAATTGCGCCCAAGGAAGTCTCAGTATTGCTATGGGGGATGGATGGGAGGCAAATGGCCATGTGCAGTGTGCCTATTGGCTATTGCTACAGGCTGTGGAAATGGAAATGAAACAGAAAATCACTTCAAATTGCCATGTACAAGGATCAAATATCGTATATTGCTGAGTTGAGTGCTAATTCTATATAGCAAAATTTTTGCGGTTCGTTGTATACATCCACATTTTTAATACAATTTTTCTCTACAACAAAAGTTGCTGTTGAGTGCTAATTTTCACAGAGTACATATTCCATAATCTGATGTATGTGGACGGGTTCCGTATATACATTGTATTTTGTTCCCTGTGCAAGAAGTCACCAAAGACTCTTTTCAGCGGCTTAATGGCATCTGCAGCATTGTCCAAGGAATATATTTTGTTCCCTGATGAAAATAACATATATGATCAGCCAAACGAGGATATAATAGTTCTTCAAATTTACAAAAGTAAGAGCACTTAATAAAGCTAGGAACCCATGTATTTAGGGTTGAATTAACATGTAGTCAGGAGTGCAAAGAAAAGAACTGCAGTTACCTGGAGAACTTTTTGGTCACTATCCATGGTAATATACCTTGTACAGCAAACAGGATTTAATGTTTCAGAATTTAAGTTATGGAGAATCCAAAGACAGAAGCAATGCATGCTTTAATGTGTGCCGAACAATTGCACAATTTTTGATGGTTCAGATTTATTATAAAAGCTCTGTGTTGTATGCTAGAGTCCTATACTATCAAAATATGCAAGAACCAGGCAACCAAATGATGATCCAAATGATATCTCAATGAACTGAAAAAACAAGATTTAGAAGGGTGGTAGCAAGTACTAGCATTTTAAAACCTAATAATTAATGACTAATTCAGCAAAGAATTGTTTACCAACACAAGCGATACAACAATTAGAGTCCTTAACATAGCGTTCTGACAAGGGAAGCAATATTAGAATGGCTGCAGTATATACAAGAGAGATGATGCACCTTGATAGTCCTATCTCCATGACCAACAAAAAGCTTTCCTTGCCAGCATAACAAAGCTGTTACCACAGAACCTCCTGGGATTGATCCAATGGATCTGATATCTACCTGAAATTCATCTCCAGACAACTCCTAAACAAAATACTACATTTGTCAAGTTGTATGAAAAGACATAGGTCCCAAACTCGCAAAGAAAGGTCCAGCTAAAAACAAATAATATCACCTCAACAAATTTTATATAAAATAAAGCTAAAGAAGCTTCTAAATGCCAAAATGCATTACATTAAAAATTCTAAATCACAAAGAAGTTAGCTTGTCAAACTCCATTCATTGAGTTGAGGATAATCAATGCAGCTGCAGTATCAATTTCCATGTACCTGTACATTGATAATTTTGTCCCAACCTCCTGTGAATAGCCATTTCCCCTCCATGACATTAGCCAAAATGGCACCGCTATGGGATTGTGCAGATTTCTTGAACACATCGTCCCTCCATACCTGAAGGAAGTGATGAATTAAACACACAGAAAAACAAGCAACACCAGCAAATGCACAGTGAATGTTTTCCTTAAAAGGAGAGCTAAGAGCAATCCCAATCGGCATCGACAGTTGACAGAACAAATTATTTTCCCCGCACAAGTGAGGGAGGTCTGTCTGTGGAGGATACAACAATTTCATTCATAATTGATGTAGTAAGTCTTCTAACGTAACCTAAATTAATCTGAATGCCGGTATGTGATACTATTTCTCTTGCACCTCAAATTTTGTTTAGTATCTAACATCACTGTCTGGAACAAATATATATATATATATATATATATATATATATATATAATAAAAGCAATAGAGCACATAAAACCTTTATCTGTCCATTTTCATGGGCTGCAACAAGTATATTCTTGTTTACAATGAGAGACAAGACAGAGGTCGGAGTTCCTGGCATGTCATCCCCCAACACCGTCAAAGGACTATGATCAGTTAGACTCCACAGACGGATGGTTCCATCCCAGCTCCCACTATAGAGAATCCCATCACATGCTGCTAACGTGGAAACTACTGATTTATGACCATCCATAGTGCATGAAAGGGTCCCATCCTGATAAAATCAGAAAAAGGAACAAAAAATTAAGGTCTTGCATTTCATGTACCATATGAAATGTAGAAATGTAGCAAATGCAGATCAAATGGTAAATGCAAGCTCTACCTGCATTGACCAAGCCTTAACTGACCTATCTCCACTGCCAGTGTAGAGATATCCATTCCCCGCACTGGTCAAAGCATGAATTCCACTATAACGCCAATCTTTTTTCTCATACCATTTCTTTAATGGTTCTTTCCCCATAGGGACACTAATGCTCCATAGAAATATGCCACCTCCACTATCGCCACTAATGCATAATGGTTGTTCTCCATCAACATAAATTACAGCCATGACTTTGTGATCGTGGCCCTTAAATGTGTGTACATGAGATAAGTCCTGCGTGGAACATTTTCAGCCAAAAAGCTAACAGATAAAGAAGTTTAAAAGGAAAACTTAATACATTTTCGCCTTTATAGTGCATACCTGCAAAGACCAGACGTGGACTGCTTTATCAAATGAGGAGCTAAAGAGAAATCCTCCTGAAACAGAATTAATAGTCAGGAAAAAGATGGTTATGTTTAATAGCCATGTTCTTTTCTTTCCATCCCCTCTAGAGTAGTAGAATTTTTCATCCACTGTCAAAACTAAAGTCAAAATAAGGAAAGAGGTAAGCTAAAAAGTAGCATATATGGCAACTTAAGCTACAAATCATGCTTAGGAAACTTCATACAGCCCAATGAAAGGGAATCTTCTTAGGTTAGAGTCTCAATACCATTGATATGACTACAGAGCACGTGCCTCACAGGCTCCCGAGTCCCAACTAGTGTCATCTAACGAAAGCAGGGTGGTGATTTTGAAATGAAGGAAGCTTTCAGCTTGGACTTTCCACCATTCAAACCCAATAATTCAAGCATCAGCTTGGATTTTGAAATCCTGGTGCAACATAACCAACAAATGGCAGTCTTATATTTATTACTCTTAAGTTTTGGCAAGGCCTCTATGTTGGATAATCACAGCATGGTACGGACTGCAGGAGCTATTTCCATTACTTTGATCTCTCAAATGAAGATTAAATCACCCGCTAGAAGATGAACATCTACAAGATGCTGACTCCCAAGGTTAATTAAGCTCTCTCCAGTGGAAAGTAACTAAATGAAGCGCATAACTTGCAATCTAAGAGCGTAAAGTAAAGTTTTATACCTCCAATGGCTAATCCTGTAACACTATCAAGATGGCCCTGCATTTCTTTGAACTTGACCTTCTCCTCCACGACAGCTTCCACAACATCTTTATCAAATCTCACGTCCTCATCTTGATCTTGGTTTTCTCCACTGCTGTTTTCTGCTGAATCATCTTTCTTAAGAACCGATCTTCTCTTGGGCACCCAGCATAGTTCTCCAAGAACTTGCAAATGTTCCTTGTTCCCCTCGTGGATAGCCCCACTCAATCCAATAACAGAAGTATCCAGCTGATGTCTAATAATCAAGTCCCTAAGACAATTCCACACATCAATCACAAGAGGGCGGTGCCCTGGATCAAAACTCAAACACCCGCATAGAATCTGTTGCATTGATTTCAATTCTTCACCAGTTTTACTTTCCAACAAAGATCTCACTTTCTCTATCAAACCAGAGAAAAGACCTGAACAGTCCAAACCATTGTCTTCACTAGTTTTTGAAATGACAGAATGCACATAATCGGCTAGCTCCTTGGAGAATTGTTTCCCAATAAGGATTCTGAAGGCAGTACAAGCTAATGCCCAAATATCAGAGCCAATGTTAATCGAATATCTAAAGCTACCACAATCTACCTCTATACCCTCTCTCTTCAACATCCCAAACAAAACCTCTGGGCTCACAAAAATCTCCTTCTTCAAAAATTCACCTACCAATATCCCCAGTTCTTTAAAACTAATCTTTCTCCCACCAGAACCAAGTCCCATAACCCCCTCGCTAACTACCCTTCCCATCACCAAAGCCTCACCCAAACTTAGACTCACATGTCCAAAATCATCCAACTCAAAGCAAGAAACACCTAAACTTCCCACAATTCGCCCTTCCAAATGCAATCCAATCACAGCCTCGCACATTTCCATTCCCATCATTGCAAAACTAGACAAACCATTCTCGAAATCACCCAACATATCCAAAACATTCCTATTAAGTCTCTCACACACAAAATACAAAACCCCATTTTCCAAATCACCCCACAAACCATAACCTTTACAAATCCTGTCTTGTTTAGCACAAATCCTCAAAAGCAAACCCAATTCATCTCTCCCCTCCTCCTTCATCCCATTCAAAAAACTCATAACCTTTGCAACATAACTCAACTTAAAAACACAACCTTTCATTTCACCACTCAACAAACGACCATCATTGCCAACCTTAAAAAGCTTCACCTTCACCTTTTTATTCCCTTCCTTTAACAATCCATATCCTCTCTCTTTATCCTCAACAAAAACATCATCACTAGCAAGAACCCAATTCTTCCAAGAAGTATAAAACTCATCGGACCACGAAGGAGGCACAAAAAAGTCAAAGTCTTGAGCAAGGACTGGTTTGTCAATTTGAGATATGTTCTTGGGTTTTTGGGGATTACAATCTTGCAGTTGCTGCACCAGTCTTAGGAGATCAATGTTTTTAGGCAGAGAAGACGGGCCTTGCTGTGATGGGTACTTGACAAGTTGTGTACATGCAGGACAGCGAATGGTAAGAGGGTATTTCTGTGGGATGCTTTTCAGACATGACTCGCAGGTTGTGTGTCCACATGATAGTACTCTTGGGATTGTGCACTCGCCATTGTAGGTTGATAGACACACCGGACATTCTGGTAATTCTGGTGATTCCATTGACAGTTGATTTCGTTACCAATTTATCGCTTTGGTTTGAGAGTACAAACAAGATCGATCTCACCTCACCTCCTTAATTCTAAACTTCAGTTGTTGTGTTTGTCGATGTCAGTACGACGTGGGATGAGAGTTGTTTTCACTGTAGACTTTTAAATGGTATTTATAATTTTACCATATCTCAAAATAATCTATTTTAAACCTCCTTTTTTTTTTTTTTTTTTTCAGATATCATCTAATGATTCCCTTTAAAACTAGACAAAAATAACATTATGAAGATAAAAATATTTTTTATCCAAAATAGTCTTTATTGGTTTATATTTGTATGATAATAAATAAATTTTGAGTATCATATAAAATAGTTATAATATTTTTTTAAATGTGAAAAGAGTTTTTCTTAAAATTTTAGAATTTTAAATGATATTTATAATTTTATAAGACTTTAAAAAAGTCTATTATAATTTATTTATTTTTATTTTATAAATTTCTTAATTTAACTCAAAAGTGAAAATATAAATTATGTTCTTTTTTTTAGAATATTTTTTTAAAAGTAGTTAAAAAAAAAAACAAGATATACCTTCATCTCTATTTTTTCATTTTTTTAAAAAATCTATTTATTTAAATTTGATATATAAAAAAAAAAAGCAAAGGGATGGGATTAAGACAAAAAAAAAAAAAAAAATTAACACATTTCGTAATCTTGTGATGGTAATGATGTGATTTAATATCATTAACCCAAAAAGTTAATAGATTAATATGATTAAAATAGAAACCAACTATTATATCCAAATTTGTTATGGACCTAAGCCCAATAAATTTGATACAAGACTTGAAAGAAGCGCATCAAGTTTTTGAAATAGGCTTACTAGTTAATCTCATTTAAGAGCCCGTTAGATTAGATCCGTTCATATTAGGATTGATAGTTAACAAATTAAGCTCAACATGTGTGTTAGGCCTAACACATATAAAAAAAAAAAAAAAAGTTCAGTTAGTTATCTTAAATCGAGTGTTGAAGCTCTTTTCCAAAACTAGCGGAAGATGGACTTTGAAACTAGATGAAACGTGAAAATCTCATTTGAAAAAAGGTAGGTTGGTAGTAAGTAGTGTCTAGGTAGTTAAAAAAATAACAAACTTCTAGTAACAATAAACATGACCGCGGATAGTTAGGAGAAACATGAAAATTGCAGCACAATGAGCAATAGAATAAGGCATTGTAGCGCAAGAAAAAGGAAAGCACGAATGCATTGTAGCGAAGTAAAGAGGAATATAGAGTACTACAGACTTGAATTGAAAAAGGTGGCTCATTACTTGAGTTCATGGAGTAGAAAGAAGGGTATGAATACCAATTGAAGCGAAATATAACAACACACAACAATGCCAAACACAAACATATTCTTGTAAATTTTCAAACAACTCAATGAGCATTATCACAAGTTTCACACTTAAAACTTGTTAGGCGATAGCTTGTATGTAGTAATTTATAGGTGATAGTTTGTAAACAATAATCGTAGGTGATAGTATAGCACCCCCGACTTAAGACCTAAAGTAGGTTGAGAATATTATCGATAATGCCCTACATTCAAAGTGCAATGAATGCTAGACACTAAGTCTCGTGTCCTTTACTCGTCTAAATGATTAACATTCATAATGAAAATTCTTTTAATTTATAACATAGGTCTATCTTTTATATAAAAAATAAGTCCATAAATTTTCCAAACATTAATTCATTTAATAGAAATAGTAATTATAACTAAAAAATTCATTTTAAGTTCTTTAAACCAATGTTTAATAGAAATTAATTCTTTAAAACATGTAAATACATTTACCAAAATATGCATAAAAACTTATTTATGTAAAACATAAAATAAATATTTTAATATAAAATTTTGATTTAAAACATAATAAATTGCTACTTTAATTTTATCTAAATGTGTTTATAAAAAAAATAGATTATTTATATTAAATATGAAATAATTAATGTAATTTTTAATAATTGGCTAAACATTTTAAACATAGGCACCAATATATGATTAATTAAGTTATAAATTCTTTAAAGTACTAAAATTCATCTCATAAACTTTCAATTTAATAGAAAATATATAAGGTTAAAATTTAATTGAATACCATGCTTAAAACCTCAATTTTAGTTCATTGGAAGCTAATTACTATTTGAAGCCCCTTGGAAGCTAATTTGGGTTAGAAATCACTAAATCATTAAATTACTCAATACCAATTAAAAACTATTTAATTTTTTTTTACCTTTATTTGAATTAAATCATTTTATTAATTTAAACCCCAAAACCAATTTATTAATTCATTCACTAATTTAAAATATAAAACAAAATTTAACTCCTACCGAACACTTATATATATATATATATTATTATTTAGAATTGTTCCGTGAGTACCATTAATTTATATACCATAAGAACTAATCCTAAAACATATAATAGTGTCCAAAAATATGAAAGAGAAGAGAAGTTTAGGTCTTCTAAATGACACATACATTTCAAGTATACACATTGGCAAATTGAGCTTCATTCAAGTAGCAACTTTAATCTCAAAACATGCCATCATTTATCATTTTTCTCACCTACACCTTAAGATGAAATGGGGAGCAATGTCCAAGTAAGTGTAAGTCCTTACGTGAGATGCACGTAATGTAAATAAAAATCTTTCCTTTTGTGCTTTGAAATTCATTTTCTTTTTCGAGCGTATCTTGCCAAAAGTGTATATATTCAACCCTTCTTAAAATCATGCATTGTGAAAAACATAAAAAGCACTAGACACATTTCCTTTTTCTTTTTTCTTTTCCCTCATAAGAGGTTGATCATTCCTCTTGTAAACCTCTTGAACGTGTATAACCATTTCCTTTTGGAAACCATGTCATTTTCTTTTCTTTTCTTAAAAATCATGAAGAAAAATATTTTCATGATCATAGGATGAGTATGCATGCAATGAAATGCATTTCCTCAAAACTTCACATGAATCTTTAAGCATTGATATGTACTAACTAATAATTTACATTTATATAATGAATAATTACACAACATATTTCCAAACACATGGAAATTGGAGGTTGGCCAAAACACCACACACCAAACAACTCATTCCGCACAATTTTCATACTTAGGTCGAAACATATCAAGGGTTAAATAACATTCATATTAATCATTAAACATGCAAAACACATACCAAACAACTCAAAGTATTCATGTAACCTAAAACTCATCAACTAACACACCAAATCATCCATGGTCGAACCACCTCACTTGGCATGTCACATACTCAACTAACTAATTTACATGCATCAAAGCCAAATCATGCAATTAAGCATTTTAATTTATGTCTACACAACACCATAAATATGAATTCATTGTAATTACATGAAAGTAATTCAATCTTCCCCAAACTTGCATTTGGCTGAAACATCTAACCAACACAATCAAGGATAAATTATCAATTAAACACGTGTTCATGTCTATACGACTTTATGCACACTAAATCATCACAATTACGTGAAACTAACTCAATTAACCCTAAGTTGGTTCTTGGCCGAATCACATGAAACAAATCTACCAATATTTAATTCTCAATTGCACCTCAATTAGCCACTAAACATATTAATTTCTCACTTAAAGATTATGATCACATTAATTAAATAATTATTTAGACAAGAACATCATTTAGCCCAACTTTACCAAATCAATTGAACATCAAACATAGCCATGTTAACAACACTTATTGTAATAACTCAAAATACAAAAAAAAAAAAAGTATAAAAAATCACATATATAATTAATTAGGGTTATAATTGAAGAGACTAAGGAATAAATTTTTTTTTATAAAAAAAACTAGGTTTGAAATTAAAGGTAAATTAGGGACGAAATTGAATGAAATAGTGGTGAAATTGAATGAAATCATATTCAAATTTGAAAGCTAATAGAGGTATAAATGAAATAAAAATCAAAGGTGTAATTATAGGAAATTGAAACCCTTAGGGACCAAACTAAAATTGATGAGCAAACGACAAGACCAAAATGGATCGAATGACCTATCATTCGCTACAACTCAAAATAATCCTCAAGTACAATTCATCATCTTTCTTGAAGACAAAACTCGCCTAATTCTTTTCCCGTGATTCTTGGTTGGTAGTTGTACTAACCAAGAATTGTGTTTCACACTTGCACCATCTATATGCATCTCTTCATAACCATACACACATAGACCGAGAATTGCTTTTCAATTTCTTTGTTTTGTTTATAAATGATAAATCAAGAACGTACATGTTTGGGTTTGATTTTTATTGAGCAAGTGTTTAAGTTAGTTAGGAATGATCCTAGGGTAGAGAATGATATGAATTTGGCTATAAATTGAGTCATATTGCATCCGAAAGAAGATGAAGATGAAGGAAAATCAATTCTAGGTTTAGCTTTTTGGGTTTTAGAAAAGAGAGGAAAACTTAAAGTTTCGGGTAAAATTCCATCTTTTTTTTCCTAGGTTCACAACACTTATTCGGTCAATATTTATTCTAGGCTTTATTTCGAATCATTATTAGATCATAAGCTTTGTCTAGGTGTTCAACTAAGAGTAGGTATTAAATACACACACGTGTGCACACACACATATACATAGAGAGAGAGAGAGAGAGAGAGGATTAGAAAAATATGATTTTGGGTTCTTGTTAGTTTTCCGGGTTTTAAGAGAAAGAACAGTTTGGTCTTTTAAAAGATATCATCATATTAGGGTTTATAAGACCTACTTTAGTCCATAACCATTCCAAGCATTACGCCACACCATCCTTGGGTCACACAACCGTAACAAATCAAGTTTTAGCCACCATCATTAAGCACCTATAATAGAGGAACTATCATAACATAAATGTCCGGATCCTTTGGTTCATTTTAGCTCTTGAGTGTTATTTAAGTAACCCAAATTCCATTCTTTGTTTGTTTCATTCAGTTATCTCCTATTTCATTTTCAAAAGATTCAAAGAAAAAAAT